CTTGCCTCCTACACCTCTAAATTTCAGAACACTTTTAAATGGTCATGCATGAATTGACTGTATTTGCATAAATTATTATTCTTATATAGTATTGCTCAGGTACTAGAGCTTAAAAACAATAAAACCATAGAATGGTTTGAGTTGGAAGGGACTTTAAAGATCATCTTGTTCCAACCCCTCTGCCAAGGGCAGGGACACCTTTCACTAGACCAGACTGCTCCAAGCCCCATCCAACCTGACCTTCAATATTTCCAGAGACTAGGCATCCACAACAACTCTAGGCAACCTGCCCCAGTGCCTCACCATCCTCATAGTGAAGAATTTCTTCCTTATATCTAATCTAAACCTGCCCTCTGTCAGTTTGAAGCCATTGCCCCTTGTCCTATCACTACATAACCTTGTAAAAGTCCCTCTAATGGCTCTCTTGTAGCCCCTTTAGGTACTGGAAGGGCTATAAGTTCTCCCCAGAGCTTTCTCTTCTCCAGGCTGAACAATCCCAACTCTCTCAGCCTGTCTTCATAGGAGAGGTGCTCAAGCCCTCTGACCATCTTTATGGTCTCCTCTGGACTCACTCCAACAGGTCTGTGTGTTTCTTATGTCAAGGACTCCAGAGCTGGACGCAGCACTCCAGATGGGGTCTCAGCAGAGCAGAGCAGATAGGGAGAATCACCTCTCTTGACCAGCTGGCCACACTGGTTTTGGTGCAGCTCAGGACACAGTTGGCTTTCTGGGCTGCAGGCGCATGTTCCTCAGGTCATGTCAAGTTTCTCATCAACCAATGCCCCAAGTCCTTCTCGTCAGGGCTCCTCTCAATCCATTCTCCTGAGAGCTTGTATTTGTGCTTGGATTGCCTCAATCCAGGTGCAGGACCTTGCACTTGGCTTTGTTGAACTTCATGAGGTTCACACCGGCCCACCTCCCAAGGTCTGTCAAGGTCTCTCTGGATGGGTGTTAAGTGGAATCTTCACTGGACCAGCATGTATTCTCAAATATGATGGATAATGGTTTAGCCACTTCATCTGCCAGTTACCACAGGACCTATGGATACACCTCACCAGGTCCCATGAACTTGTGCACCTTCAGGTTCCTTAGTTGGTCTTGAACCTGATCTTCTCCTACAGCGGGCAGTTCTTCATTCTACCACTCCCTGCCTTTGCCTCCTGCAGCTTGGGCACTGTGACTGAAGACTGAGGCAAAGAAGTCCTGGAGTACCTCAGCCTCCTCCATACTCATGGTAATCAAGTCTCCTATTTCCTTCCAGAGAGAGCCCCCATTTTCCCTAGTCTTCCTTTTATATTTACAGAAGCTTTTCTTATTGCCCTTGACATCCCTGGCCATATTTAATTCCACCAGAGTTTTAACTTTCCTAACCTGATCTCTGCTCCTTGGACAACTTCTCTGCATTCCTCCCAGGATACCTGTCCTTGCTTCCACCCTCTGTAGGCTTTGTTTTTCTGTTTAAGTGTCCAGGAGCTCCTTGTTCATCCATGCAGGCTCTCCTGGCCTTTTTGCCTGAATTTCTCCTTATTGGGATGCATTGCTCCTGAGCTCGGAGGATGTAATTCTTGACTATTAAACAGGTTTCTTGGGCCCCTCTTCCCTGCAGGGTTTTATCCCATTGTACTCTACCAAGCAGACCCCTGAAGAGGCCAAACTCTGCATTCCTGAAGTCCAGCCTAGTAAGCTTCCTGTGCACCCTCCTCGCTGCCCTAAGGATCCTGAACTCTACCACTGCATGGTCACTGCAGCCAAGGCTGCCCTTGAGCTTCATATTTCCTACCAGCTCCATCTTGTTGGTCAGTACAAGGTCTAGTATAGCACCTCCCCTTGTTGGCTTCTCTATCACTTGGAGAAGGAAGTTATCATCAAGGCACTCAAGGAACCCCCTGGATTGCTTATATCTGGCTGTGTTGTCCCTCCAACAGATACTGGAGTGGTTGAAGTCCTCCATGAGGACCAGAACTTGTGAACGTGAGGCTGCTCCTGACTACAGAGGGCTTCACCTGCTCAGTCTTGCTGGTTGGGTGGCCTGTAGCAGACTCCACTGTAATGTCACCTGTCCCTGCCCTCCCTTTAATCCTGACCCATAAGCTCTTGGTTGGCTCCTCATCCATTTGCAGGCAGAGCTCCATGCACTCCAGCTGGTCACTGACATGGAGGGCAATACACCCTCCTCGTCTCCTGTGGCTGTCCTTCCTCAAGAGCCTGTATCCTTCCATTCCAACACTGCAGCAGAGGAACCATCCCACTACGTCTCTGTGATGCCAGTAGGATCACAGCCCTGCAGGTCTAAAATCCTAGTAGAAAATTAAGATAATGAAGTCTGGTCCACATCCCTGCTGAGACATTGCCTCAAAGAGAAGGGTTCTCACTCCTGTTTTGCAAAATAAATTTAACATCATTGATCTCTCTCAAAAGAAACAAGACATCAGCAAATGGGAAAGCAACATAGATAAAAACTCAAACAGCTAATGGACTGCAGTATATTGTTAGGATCTTTTATGATAGATTGCATGTTACATGAAGAAATGAGGAAAATAATAGTAATTCAAAGCATTTCATATGGAAAACGAAGTCTGATTCAAGAAATCAGAAAATCACCAAATCAAAGTATTGAAAACCCTTGATATAACTAACATAAGCATGTGACTCTAGAGTGTGAACCATTAGTCTAGCCTTCCATTCTTCTATTTATGGCAATCTTGACATGAGACTTGAAAGCAAATACTTCTTTAAGCCTGTAGAGATGCATAAAGCCAAGCTCTGAGATTTTACCTGTCTGTAGAGCTATTCACAAGGTTCTGCACTGGAAAAAATATGTAAATTTCTAGTCTGTCTGAACAACCAAAGGTTTAGGTAACCAATAACTGAGAAGCAATGAATGAAAAATTCTATCTTTCTCCACAATTTGGAGTACTTTGAATACCACATTAGTCAGAAATGTATCAAAAATTTCTATAAAATTTGGTACATGAATGCCAGAATTACAATTCTTGCATGCTGAAACATGTCAATTTTTAAATTAGTTTATTAAAAGACTTTTTACCAACACTATGAGCACAGATAACTGAAAAGGCATATAGTGAGGGAGTGCCACCTGTCAACTGTAAGTACAGGCACTCTCTTTTCCTTTCTCCCCTACTCAGTTGCTCCATGAGACTTCTCGAGGATCCTCACTCAAACCAAGGGGCATCCTTCAAAATGCAGACATAAAATTAAATCCATATGACAAATAATATGAAAAAGGGCAAGAAAGAAAAAGGTGCAACAAAAGAGAACAATGTAAAAGAAAAACAGCTGTCCAGCCACCCCAAGGCCATCAGTTGGCAGCCGTAAAACAGTGACCAACAAAACTTGTCCTTTTTCACCTGCAAAACCTTTGCAACAGAAAAGGCCAGTCAGCAAAGTTTTTAGAACAGTACACTGAATTCCTTCTCCCAAGGTTCTCTACAAATGGGAATTGTGGCCGCACAATTACCAGACAAACGAGAAAGAAGACACATACAACAGCTTAAAGCAAAATTTGTATAACATCTTAATACACCAAACAACTCAGCAGCCTCCTGCCATAAACAGCAATAGATAGAAACTAATTAACAAAACATCTTTTTACTAAAGCTAACAGTCATTTTACATTTACTGCCTGTTCTTCAGAGACTGGAACATCTTCCCTCTATTTTCTGTCAGACTTAATTATGGACAAATCAACAAAATTTAAAAGCAATAGCAGCAAAATTTATTGCCTGAGGTCACTTAAGTGAATAAAATATAACCTATTAGACAAGTGCATAACAGTGAACTAAAAGACAAAAGTTTATTCAAGACTGGACAAAGAAAATTGTCATCACCTAGGGATTGTGATAAACTTCTCCCTAAAAGCAAGCTCTTGTGACACCTAGATGTTAGCTCTGCTATACTTGCTTTACATACTTCATCTAAAAAGAATAATGACTGATTTTTGCTAAAGAAGGAGGCTGAAGATTAGGAATAAAACCCTAAGACTCAAGCTGAGGACTCTGAGCCTGGTAATTGCATTAACAGGTAAAGAATGACTCGGTGCTGAGAATATCTTACAAGCAAGTATCTAACACCAGGGAGATGTACACAGAGTCAATGGCCATCCATTTTCTCAACAGACACTTGAACATGGCAGACTTTTCCACCTCTAAAAACATCCTAAGAATGACTGTAATAAATGTCTAGCTGCAAGTACCTTAAAGATGGAAGAATTAGATGAAACAGCCATTAAACATTAAATTATCGATAAATGAAAACCCCACAAGCCTAAACACAAATATTCATGAGCTTAATTTTAAGCAAATACCCAGATGTTCTCAAAACAAGGGTAATATAATGTAATCTCCTCAGGGCTTAAATTTATGACTTTACACAGCACCTGGGATGATCAGCCCTAATTTCTAACTGGGTTCTTTGAATGTTGTAACAAATTAAGTTCTACGAACATCCATCAAAAACATATGCAACACAGCACAGGAAGACCCTTGTAAACATTCAGACTCAGTGCAGCCAGATCAGTCCATGGAAATTCTACATGAACTCTGAGTGGAATCTCTTTCCACCTTTCAAATAATTTATAGCTTAATGTCAGCTAAACATAGTAACTAATCCCATTTATCCACTGAAAGTAAATTCTTGGCTGCTCTTCCAATGTCATTGCAGACATTGCTGTCAATCCCCAAACTGTGGCCTACCCAATCAAAATGTCAGCACTTACCTGCTGCTCAACACTTCAGACACATGGGCTGTCATATCAGTCAGTGACTGATCAGGCGCAGAAATCAGATAGAGCTTTCTCTTGACAACCAGATACGATCAGAGTACAAGTTACGCATCGGTCTCCGAAGCCTAACCAATGCATGCTCAAGTTAGTAGAAGGCAGCTTTACTGTTTATGACATACCTGCCATCATCTCTGCAAATCCTTGGGGAGAACAGGCCAGTGAGAACAGCAATAGGTGCAAAAAACAACCCCCTCCTCCTTTTCTGTGTGTGATTAAGTCCAAAAATGCTAAACAGCCACTCCGAGGAGCAAAAGTTCTCTGCACACTCACAGAAGTAGTAAAAAACATAAGGATAAAGAATGACCACCTTAAGGCTGAATACTCACTACAAAGTCTAAATCCAGCAGTGAAGAAAGGAGTCATTCTTGAAGTAAGACTGGTCTTTCTTCAATGCACTTTAATTTTTAAACCAAGTGCAATCTATCAACTGAAAAACGACAGCAGAAACAAAATGGTATCACTCATCTTACAGAGGCTACTGAGTAGCTGAGAAAGAATTTTAATTTATACCTGTGGTTTTGGAGGTTCAGAAGGCAGTCCTGAAATTTAAATCTTGCATGTGCATCTTTTCTTTTTTAGCCACATCTTTCCTTGACATTGACTGCATATGAATTTAGAATTTATATTTAGTATTTTAGATGCTTCCAGCATCTTGTGTTGTATACTGTTTCTGTCTTTGCCAGGTAGGCCTCCACAGAAGTCTTCTGGCATGCTCATCTAGCGGGAAGAAGACACAGTCATCTTGTCAAGATGCTGTTCGCTCAACGAGTCCACAGCCCCAAGGCAACACTGAGCAAATGCTGGCGAGGAGGTCTGACACTGCACTATTTCTAGCTCACACCAATGACTTCGACACAAGCAACATGGCCCAACAAAACAGGTCCGGCCATTCCAGTACTAAGTTTATCAGTAATAATGTCAAAGCTCCACAAAACTTTTCTTCCCGTCACAAGTGCAAAAAGCCTATGCCGGTATGACCTTAGATTGTTTTTAGCTCATGAGTTAAGTTTGCCCAGTGCTGTCATCTTCTAATACAGAGCATGAGCCGGACAGCAGGAAATGACTGCAGAAGCCACAGCTGTTGCAGAGCCCAGTCTTCATCTTCCAGCCATGAGAACTACTCTATTTCCTTCTTTGATCAACATGCCCAATGACTAAAAACGGATTGTGGCCCAAACCTGCTAATAATAAAGAAATTTCCACCATTCCCATCACTACTTCAAAGGCAGAGAAAGTCTATAAAAGAACTGTTACTTCTCTATCCATCTGCTTAGGACCTGAAGTACTTAGAGACTATGCTGTTCTAGCATTGTGCATTCACAACACTATACCAACAAACCATGTTCAAAAGGCTCAGAAAAAATCAGTACAGTCCAACAGAACAGAATACAGATTAATACCTATTCCTTATAACAGAAATGTTTTAGAATAGAAGCAACTGACTGCAAATCCATACTGCCATGAAGACTTGATGACGTTGGGAGTAATAAGATTATTAAAGGTTTTCTAGCCCATATTCAAAAAGAAAAGTTACTAAATTCCTCTGCCCAGAACTCTCTTCCAGTTCTTTTCTCTACATGAAGAAAATTACAATCTCAGAGAAAGAGGAGAGTGGAGAAGCACAGATGTCTGGACTTCATTCTAATTTCCTATTCTTAGTTCTCTATTTGGTTAAGTTAAAACATAAAATGAAAGAGAAAAGCAAAAACCGACAGTAAGGAAATCTCTCATTTCAGTGTACTTCAACAAGCCACATGTAAAAAGCTAGCTTTGCAGTTTGACACCTCATTAGATCTACAAGAAACACAGATATAATTCCTCAGGGTGTGTACAACAGAGTTCCTGAAGAACCCAGGAAGGTTAATTCTGTGCTTCAATACCTGTATCTGTAAAGCGGCAGCGATGTTTCCTGTCTTCTGCTCTGTGCCACTTTTAACTCAAACATTTATGCATGCTCTATGCTTAAAAACAACTGGCCTAACCACATTTGGAGTTTCTGACAGCTATCAAAGTACAGATAATATTATTAAAACAAATACCTTAAAGCAGTAGCTCACACTTTAATCAACAGAATACAGTTAGTAAACAGATTCCTGTGAACTATTTTCATTGAAATCACTGTTGAATACCGTTCTGCATCCATTACAAACCTGTAGCTGCTGCTTTTGATTCCAATGTATTATGACCAATAGTTTGAGAACAAATGGACTCCACTATATTGGAAACTATTCAACCCCTTAGCTTGAGTAGCATATGAGGACTTTCTCCCAGAAGATGAATTCCTTTTCTATATAGTCCCTTCCTCCAAAAGCATATATGGAGAAATAACTGTTTTCATAAGGGAAACTTCCTCACAGTTAAGTAATTACTTAAAACAAAAAAGCTAGGGAAAAAAAAATCCTTACCACTCCATGTACATTACTTTTATTCAAGTATATCCTCCAGTAACAGTAACTGTCAAATTTCTCCCTGATTATTCTGCTCCCATTAGCCTATAAAAATCTGCAGCTGAACCACAGTATGAGCAATAATTAGTCCCATATCAGAGCAATATTACTTCATGATTCAGAAACAGAACTACTTGGATGTATGGCAAAGAAGTAGAATATCTGTTTCCCAGTTCCAGTTAAATCCCTCTACGTATTCAAGAAGAGGAGGCATTCAGTCCTTTTTGCAAACAGTGGACATCAGAGGAAAGCATTAATGTACAAGTTGATGACCCACCAATATCTACTCAATCATCCCTTCTCTAAGCGAGAGGAAGGGATACAACCTAATGAATAAGAATGAGACATTCATTAGGGTTTTGTTTACACATTATTATTCAATACTAACGTTCAAAATGAACTATGATAAACAGAAGAAAGGTAATCTATACGTGGTATTATGCAGAAAAGCTGCTGTGCTTTAAAATCACCTTCTGCCTTAAAACAAATTAACATTTAAAGTATGGATGAATTTTTACCGGGGAGTAAAGTGATTGCTTACAGAAAGGGCGCAGGGTGGGGGGGAATTACTTGCACACAATACAACAATAGTGCAAAGATAACACAAAACTGGGTATTTATTTTCATGCATAAATAAACATATTATTGTAGTACCCTCTGCATGACTTGCATTTGAACATCTAATTTAACAATAATCTTTAAAAACTCTACGAAGAGCGGAAAAAACAACACCTGTAGAATTCTAATTTGGGGGCAAAAGTACATACTCATCTTCACTTTTACATATTGTCCTTCATCTCACACTTTTCCCTTCATTTACTTAGTCTGCCTACCAATACATGTTCAGTGCTAAAAAACACCTTATCGACACTACAGACTAGAATGAAAATGTATTTCTATTGCCTGCAGGCTGCACACAGGCAAACCACTGACTGTGCCTAGCAAAAAAAAATAAAAATTAAATTAGGAAGGTACCCTTAATCAGTACCAGGACTGCTGGCCTCAGCCTCTCTTCTCTCTCCTCCACTTCATAATGCCTATTATCTAACTGAAAAGGAAAACTCTGATCCTAATGGTTTCTGACACCTGATGAGAATAAAGAAACACAAAGGGACCTGGTGATGTGTTATTTAACGCATGACTGTTTTAATAGGGCTGTCTAATTTTTGGAGGCACAGGGCCCATATCCAATGCCCCTCACAGCAACCCATCAGCTATTTGCCACATTCCATTCACCACATCACATGATTGCGTTACTGGCAGTTCCTGAAGGTTAGTTTAATCAACTTTTGTATACTACGATAATTTCCTGGGTTAGAAAAGGTTAATTAGAGGCAGAACGAAGAGTATAACAATTTGTTGTATTTCAACATTATGAAATTTTTACCGTTCACAAAAAATCTCAGAACTATGTATGAATTACAACCACTTACACAGTATTACTGTATTTTTCAACCTTGTGTCTCTCAATGGGTTACACGTTCGTGTCTTTAGTCTTATTTTCTCAAATGTGAAATTTAAGACACAGACTGACACGGTAGGTTTTCCAGTTTGCATTCCTCTAAATATCAATTCATTTAAATATCTTGTTGCTGCGTATATCCAGGGCCTTTAAACCAACTTGAAATTTCTGCATAGGAGTCAGCTGCACAGGGAGAGTAATTGTTGCCTCCAGAGCTGTAACAGATTACCTCCACTGCTGTATCCATCCACATCTCACGCTGCATAAATTTCAGATCACTACAGGGTAATTTCTTTTTTAAAATCTATTTTTGCCATTTATGTCTAGGTTAGCTAGATTCCCTATTATCAATTTGGAAAAAGTAATCTTCCATTAAATCTCAACTCAGCTCAAGACAAAACCCTTACATCTCCATTTTTAACTAATTCCAGTGTAAAGAAGCTTACTGATAAATCCTCAGAAATCCCATTCTATACTTGTTACCCTACACATTCACAGACAACATACTGAATTTATTGGCACAAAGGAAACCAACTAAATCCTAGCCTTCATTTTAAAACTTAGCTTTAAGGAGGAAATTGCAGTTAGTATTTCTCCTGACAAAGCTGGCATGCTACAATTACTTGGGGTTGAAGTGGGAAGGCAGCATTAGTGTATCGGACAATTTTTTAACTTGCAATGGTAAGGCAGTAAAATAAGTACTTTGCTGACACAAACTGGTCTCATATTTCAGTTTTTAAACTGGTTTTTCCTACACCTAAAAGCAGATTAAATATAAGTACCATCCAGAACCAGGGGATACACAACACAGCAAACAGCCACATCCAGGGAAGTAGCCAGCTAAGGTTAAAATGTGTTACAGAAGAACAATGATCCTGTTTCACCACTGCTTCATCAACCACCATCAGAATTACCACCACACTCTGGTTTATACTTCCACCAAAGCCCCTGCAGCAGACCAATTGCTGAGCAATTGCCATTCAGCCTCTTGCAAGCCCTACTGGTCAGAGTTAATCCAGCAATACAGGCTGCTGTTCAGAAGCTGGTTTTGTATCCTACACAATGCTTCTGTCAACACTCCAAAGACCCGAAACCTGATTAATTACATTTGCCTGGGACCCTCCATCCACCCAGCATATTGTTGAAGGCTGTTGAAGCAGGGCAACAGTTGCAACCTCCTTCACCCCAGGCATAAGCCAAACTTGTCATGCCCCGTTTAAAGTGCCATTAACTGGCCAGATTTACAGCTCCTAACCAGGCGCTTGGAGGCAGCTCATTGTAATGACTTCTACTAATCACTACAATTTGCCCCAAGTCACGTGGAAACTTGAGAGTCTTTTCCTCCTTCCAGACTGGGATACACCAATAACAACATTTCATCCCAAAAGACTACCTCTCTGCTTCCAGCCACAAGTCACTTCAAAGCCCACACGGGGACCAGAATTGCACGTTTCTGGTAACATGAGCAGCAGCGGGAATTACGTTATCATTCCAATAATTTGATTTATGCATAGAAATTAAATGCTCAGTTATTAAAAAGCCTAAATGAAAAAAAAAAACAAACAGAACAACAAACAAACCAACCCACAAACTGCTCCCCCCCCCCCAATAAACCCAAAACATTTAAAAATGAGACCTTCAGTACTACATGGCTGGCTTAAAAGAAAATTCACTACTACCCTTTCTACATCTGGCCATTTATCAGTCTATGAATCCTGGAACAACACCCTTTAAACAAGAATTTACACCACATTTTTCTTTACAGACATGTATTACTAACAACAGAAAGGATCCATCAATGTGATTCAGTATTCAAAAAGGAACAGAAAAATACAAGATGTCCTTCAAACGCCTTCAATAGATGCAAGACATCTTCAAACAGGTAAGAGAAGTGACCAGGATGAAGGCGGAGATGAGTCACATCAGGCAGCCTGTGTAGTTACTTGAACACCAAGAAAACCTTCCCATCAGTCTTTCAAAGGGCAGTGGGTGGGAGTGTAATCCCAAACATTTTCCAAGAAAAAGAACAGGAAAAAATTACTCAAAAGAGATAAATTAAGTATGCATCTCACTGAAAGTGCATCCCACTTTCTAACAAATTAACAGATTAATCCCTTATGCTTCCAGACAGTCCATTATCCATGTAGAAATCTTATTCTCTCCCATGGCTTATTTCAAGCCACATCTGGCCTATATTATTGGCACAATCAAGACTCTGCAGGCTAGGTTATCCATATAAAAGGCAATTACCTCTTGTTTTTTTTAAATTTTATTCATGCCTTTTTAGTTAGCTGTTACCTTAATGCCT